AAGTCAACAACCAAATAACTGACTAAGTAAACTGTTTATAGGCCTTTCAGAAAATCTGTCTTCATTAACACCAGATCAACATTTTATTCGTAATCTGATTATACATTGCAGCGTTATTTTATACAGCAGAACTCTTCATTCTGCAATGTATATTCAGTCAATTTTCCAATTCATTCAAATCCGTCGGTAGTTCCGTGGTAGAATGTTCACCAAAAACTGACATGGTCTGGACTTCCACTCCCAGCTGACATACTCTTGAATGTTGCCTATTTTACTAGCCTATAAAAAATCCTTCATTCACTTATCTAGGGAGCATTGTCTCAACTACAGGAGGAACGGACGAGGATGTCAAATCGAGAATTGCGAAAGCGAGAAACACATTCATCAACCTTAAAAAACCAATCTGGAAATCTTCGTCACTCAGCCTGCATCAACAACAAAATTCGGATTTTCAATACAAACATCAAGTCAGTTTTGCTATACGGATCAGGAACTTGGCGAGTCACAAAGAATATTTCCAACAGCCTGTTGCAGACCTTTATCAACAACTGTCTTCGTTGGCTCTATACTCAAGATCAGATGGCCGGAAAGAACAAGAAACTATGGGAAGAAACGAAACAAGAACCAATCGCTCAACAAATATTCAGGAGAAAGTGGAGATGGATTGGACACTCACTGAGGAGGCCACTGGGTGACATCATGCGTCAGGCCATAGGTCGAGTGGAATCCGAAAGGGAAGGGGAGAGTAGTGGGACGTCAGTGCAAGGGTGACATGGAGGACATCGTGTGAAGAGGAGTTGAAACAGTATGGACTAACATGGATGCAGGTGAAAAGTATAGCAGAAGGCAGAAGCAAGTGGAGACGTGCAGTTGAAGCTCTATGTTCCACTAGGAACCCAAAGGAACAATGATAATAATAAATCCTGAAAAAAGAAGAAAGCTTTGACATGAGACCAGCAATGCCACCCTGGGAAAACAAAACTAACCGTTACTGAAACCCCTTAAGGTGCAAAGATATCAGAAAGTGTGAGACAGAGGTTTAAGCCTCGCATTCTCATCACTTACTTAATGAATGATATATATATATTTTATTAATTGAAACAAAACAGAAACAAGATTGGCTAGCGGTTGCGCTATATAGTGAATTGGCAGAAGTTAGAATTCATGGGCCATTGGATCGGGTCCCAGAGGCTTAATGGTATACGAGCTCGCCTTGTAACCAGAAGGCCCTGAGTTCGAACATCCTGTGGTGGTTGCATGCTGCTGAAGAGTTCAAAATTAGGACGAAAACAGTTGTCCAGTACTCCCAGGTTTTCCAATGGTTCTCTAACCAATGTCAGCTCATGATAAAATCCTGTAACCAATCAACCAAATCCCTACAAACCAATACTTGAAGATTATTTCTCTTTTTAATGACTTATTTTTATTCATATTTCTTATACAACATATATCCATCTACTTAATTTTTGTATTTTCGCTAAAGGTCTAGTTAGCCTGGTTGGTAACTAAACCTTCTAGTTTAACCAAGCATTAATTTCTCTTTTGTGAAATAGCCCCGAAAAGTTTATCCCAGATAAGTCTATAAGGCAAAATGAATAAATAAATAAATAAATAGAACTGAGCAGAAATCGACTTAGGTGTTCTTTTAAAAAGTTTTCTCTTTTCTTCTTCTTCTTATGTGATACTTGTGTTAGTTACTAAATGCTAGTGTGTTTTTTTAAAGGGACAAAACTATATTCTCACTTGATATTTATTTATGTAGATAGACACATTTTTTTATGAAGGAGTTTCTTCTTTAACTAGTTCTTTTCATATGCTTTCCGCTTGTTTGAATATGCTTTCTTTCTTTCTTTCTTTGTGGAGCAGAAGAACTAGAAGAAGACAAAGAAGAATGAAGGAAATTCGAAGAAAGCAAACTATTTCTTTTATGACCATTTGATGTGTGTGACATTTGAAAAAAATATTATTATATAATATACACATACAGTTACATTTTGTGGGTGTGTGAGAGCGTGCGTGCGTGCGTGCATATAGCAGTTAAATAAACGATTCATCTTTTCTTCATATATATTTATGCATGATTTATGCAAAAATTGTTAATAGAGTATTTCTCTCTTTGCTACAATAGCATAGAACTGTTTGTTCTAAAGCAATAATAAACAACTGTCATTCTATTCTGGTTTTTAGTACTAAGTAAGATAGAATATCTGTAATAAATATTATGAAAATTGAGCTTAACTTTGTAGGCATTTTATCTGTTGAAGTATCAGTTACATTACACAAGAATAGAGATTTTCGAAAGGTATCTATTATACAGATATACAGATATTGAGATTTATGATGTCTTTCTTCTTTAAATCTTAATAACATGAAGATTTTATCATCACTATAACTATTATTATTTTGTTTGTTTCTCGTGTTCCGAGAGGAAAATACAGGTTCACTGGTATATCTGCATTCTAATTAGTTCTCTACCATCCCGACAAAAGGCTCCACCACGGCTTAAATGCTTTTACTTTCCCTTCACACGATCTCCTACATGTAATCCACCGAATTTGTCTTTTTCTATTCGATTTCTACTCTAAAGCCTGACAATTCTCCTCAGTATATGTGCCAACCATCTTCGTTTCAATTAAGTGATAAGTTATTGACTGATTTTCTACCAGAGTGTCTCATGTTACTTATTCTTTCTGGCTGACTATTTGATCTTCAGTATAGAGTGGAGGACGCTCGCCAACCATGCACATGGTCCGGGGTTCAGTCCCCGACCGACATACTCCTTTACCTCGCTAAGCCAGTAGGGAGATTGGTAAAGCGGAAAGGTTGGGTATGAGGCTAACAACCCTATCCTGTAAAAATTAACACTGTTACAGAAACTTCAGCCTCTAGCTTGATGCCCTATGTTCCACTGGGGAACGTGAAGGAATAAAAAAAATAGAGTGAATGTAGTTGTTGAGGAAAGTTTATAACAGGCTGTTAGAAATCCTTTTTATGACGTACGTAGTAACTCTCTGAACTATATAGAATCACTGACTCAACATTTAATGTTGAGAATCGTGTTGCTCATTCTAAGCGCCGTAGATGTCCACACTGACTGCAGAGTAACGGATGCCTGTCTTGCTTTCCTAACTATAGCTTTAATCATTCGACTTTAATCAATATATATATATATATATATATATATATATATAAACGCTGAGTGAAATTAGTCATTCATTTATGAATGCAGTCACTGAGCTTCGCAGATTTCAGTCAGTACTAATAACTAGACAGTGCAATTTTTGACCCTCCTTGATGAGGGCTTTAGAAATGCTTTGTTCATTAAGAATAGGAAGCATGAAATATGAATCCAGTAGAACTTCTTGCTAGTTTGTTTTCTAACTTACAAGAACACAGTGATTTTGCTTTGAATATTAAAGCACGATGATTTACAATACCTATATGACTACCTTTAACTTCTCCCTTAGGCATAAACGAGATCTACAAACACTAGTAAGTTCTCATGAAGCCTGTCGCATTGAGGGGACTAAAATTGAAACTAAGTCTAATGCAAAATACCTCGGTCTAGTTCTATCTTCCGACACTACTTGGACATCTCATATCCTAACGATTTCTAAGAAAGTGTACTGTCTAATCTACTACATTAAGAAACTTAGACAATCTGGAATCACCCAACCTCTACTTTCACAATTTGTCAACTCTTGTATCTTACCTATTCTACTTTACTGCTCCCCGTTAGTCTTTCCTGGGCTACTGAGAAAGGACTATACCATCCTGAGAAGGATGTTGAAGGTAGTTAGTAAGACTAGTGGTGTAAAACTCAGTCAGCTCGTCACTACATTAGTTGAAAGGCATCTGAATACATGCGAAAAACCATACTCTCCGACCCCCAACACCCCTTCTATTCCCAACTCTCGCCTTGTATCTCATCAAGTAAAACCAGAAATCAGTATAAAATAATTTATGCTCGTACAACCAAGTACAGGAACTCAACGATACCATACTTGGCCCGTGTTCTAAGTGACAGAGACAATGTTAAGCGCGAAACCTATGACTTGCTTTGTTATTAACAACATAATTTTAGGCTCTTTTATTTCTCTCTTATTTTGTATTCTATAGTGAACTCCTTCTTAAACATACTTAGCTACCTAAATTATTAACATTGGCTTACTTTTTGTACTTTACTGTATTCCTTCTTTTGTGTATCTTCTGGTTCCGACTATATTAGCACCATGAGTATTACAAAATTGTCCTGTCATTAACCATCATGTAATTATTAGTTTTTGTGGTTGTTTTTTTTCGGCAATATTAACTGACAATCATTGGTTGTGAACGCCATTATCACCATCTTAAAATTTTGTATTATTCAGGATTACTCACACTACCACTACAAACACTGCATTAGACCTGACAATAAAAAACAAAACAACAACCCTGAAATGTTATTTTATGATTGTTTAGTGTTGTTTCAACCTAAATTAACTGATCATCTTGGCGATAAACATTCTTAAATATCATTTCATAACTTCTTGTATGACTATAGCTTTACTGTCACCATGCATAATCATATCATAGTTTCCACTACCCAATACTGAGATATTATTATATGCTGTTTATTTTCCTTTCTACTTCTTGGTATTTTTTCGTATTTTTAAAAAATTATTTTTGTGTTGTTTTGTGTTTTTTGGCTGTTGTCTTTATATTTATTTTTTGGAAATACTCCTTTTAAACGTTGGATAAAATTAGATGCAAATATTGTAGATATGTGCTGAAAATTCCACACTGTACCACTAGAACTGTTTCTGGAATAAAGCAAATTATTATTATTAATTAATTAGGAAAACTAATACTACTTATAATGTATTTAAGAATACTCAGAATATTTTTTCAGATAAATTTATACTAAATTCATAATGAATATAAAGGGTAAATACTTCTGCATTTATGAATATGAACATTAATAATTTAATTTTAATCCTCTTTTTCTTTTTACACTTCAGCTTCACCTTCGAAACAAGAATTAACATCGACTGTAATGCCAGTTAAAGCAATGCTTGAAAGTGGAACCTATAATTCAAAACATTTTCTAGACAATAAAGTGAACAATTTTCAGCCAGCATCAGAAAACTCTCTGCCTTATCTGTCTAACAGATACTATTCCACTGGACAGAATTCAAAAATACAACCTCCTTTTGAAATAAATTTTCAACAACAGTCAAACAGCTCAGAAACTATGTCCACCGCATTCAGTTTGTTCTCACAGTCTCAAGGAAAGGCGGAAGGTATATCTTCATCAGATATCGGAGATTTAGGCATAAACAGTGTCGCAGAGTCACCATCGTCTACATTGGCTACATTGTCATACCTATCAAATCCTATGTCTGATCGTTTTTGTTCACTTATTCCACCTGCCTTAAATAGCAGCAGTCTTTCTCATTCAACTCATTCAGTGAATGCAAATATTCCTTTATTATTGCCGTCTAATCAACAATTTATTGGAAAATCACAACAATTAATCTCTAGTGCTGCTGATCATCGAAATGAAGCCGTTGAGATTAATGACAGTCGAGCAGGTTGTCTGCAAAAATTAGATGAAACTCAAGAGAATCTCAGATGCCTTTCATCCAAAGGAATAGAGTACAACAATACTACTAGTAGTAGTAGTATTAGTAGTAGTAGTGGTAACCTCGGTAGCTATCATAATCAAGTTAACCTACTTTGGATGGTCAAACGTGATAGTCATTGTGACAGTATGCCTATAAATGAAAATCCTTTTTCTGATGTATATAATAATCGTGATAATTATCCAGTACGTTCATCTTTAGTCAATGAAAATGTATCAGACAAGGAAAATCAATTGCTTAAATCAAAAGAAAGGGATTATTTTACAAGAAATGAAAAAATACAATTAACGGTTGATGAAGATCATCAAAATAAAGGCGATTGCCTACCTATACTAAATAAAAACAAGATAAATATCAATGAAGTACATGAGAGTCATCTGCTCGCTGATAATAATGCAGGCGGTGATGATGAAGATGACTGTGATGATGACGATGAAGGAGAAGAGGAAGAAGAAGAACAAGAAGGAGGCGAAAGAGGAGGAGGAGGAGGGGGACAAGATTCAATTCAGTTAAACGAGTTTAAGAATACCACATTAATTAGTGATCAAGAGAATGAATTCAATGAGAATAATTCTCCATCTTCACAAGATAGATACATTCATTTATTACATCGACCTCGTTCATATGATTCACCATTACATACTGGATGTTGTGGTATTATTGGAAGTGAAGTATCCTCTCAAGTAGGAAGTATAGATGATAGTGAAAGTATCACTGATCATGGAGGAATAAATCATCTTTCTGGAAGTATCGACAGCGGATTAAATTGCAGTGCGGGTGGCGGTAATAATAATAGTGGACTAGGAATTACTAGTAGTGGAAATAATGGAGGTGCAAAACGTCGAGGTCCACGTACAACTATCAAGGCGAAACAATTAGATACACTGAAAACAGCATTTGCAGCTACTCCTAAACCAACAAGACATGTTCGAGAATCTCTAGCACAAGAAACTGGACTTTCAATGCGTGTAATTCAGGTAAACACTATTAACTCTATTCATTGCTTCTTTTTTTGGCTATATCTTTTAAAGAAATTAACAATTCATACTGCTCGTTTTCAAATCACGGAATATACACATTTGATCATAGGGAATAAAAAGACAGTTACAGCGAAGAAAATTTTCTTTTCGACGAAGTCATCATCATCTAGGCTGTACATTCGTGTATTTATATCAAATGGATAGGAAAGTTCCAGAATAATTTCTGGTTAGGGGTCAAATTAATAAAAATTACAATAAGGAATTAGAATGCCATAATAAACAGGGGGATGGGTAAAACTCAAACAAAGTAGCATCATAATAACTAAGAAGATTGACATTGTGCAATTGGGGGTTAGAAATGTAAAAATAGCAAAATATACAGGATGTTTGGATAAAAAACTAGTGTGATGAATAATTGTTTATGCAATCAGGGATTAAATATGTAGAAATAGTAAAATGACAAAATAAACAGGAAGTGTGGATATGAAAATATGGTAGTGTAGACAGGGATTAAGAAAACTTAAAATAACATGAATAAACAGGAAGTTTAGATAAGAAAGGCGATGGGATGGTCATTATTAAAAAATTTACCTGTTTATGATGGCCATAGCAGGGACAGGGGTTGGACGTATTTCTTTTGGATACAAAGAGTGGGTTTGAGTATTTTGGATAGCTAACGCCTCAGCTATGCCCAAATGTCTTGATTTCATTCCCTTTGATAGGTTTGACTGAATCTTGTATATTACTTTGAAGGATTTTTCGAAAGGCGCTGAATGTCCTGAGTTGACCAGATGTTCTGTCACTGAACTGTATACACGTTTTCGGTCTCCTTTTACTAGCCAGGTTGGGTAGTGTTCACGAGCGCGTTTTCCAAGTTGGCGCATGGTACGGCCGATGTACTCAGCTCCACAAGAGCACAAGTGCTTAGTTATTATGCTACTTTGTTTGAGTTTTACCCATCCCCCTGTTTATTATGGCATTCTAATTCCTTATTGTAATTTTTATTAATTTGACCCCTAACCAGAAATTATTCTGGAACTTTCCCATCCATTTGATATAAATACACGAATGTACAGCCTAGATGATGATGACTTCGTCGAAAAGAAAATTTTCTTCGCTGCAACTGTCTTTTTATTCCCTATAATTCATACTGCATATAATCTACTAAATCTTATATATATGCTTCACTTTCTAAAAATATTTTGTTTTGTTGTTGTTTCTTTTTTTTATCCGACGAGAAAGGTAAATATAATCTCAATCATCTTATTATTATTATGCTGCCTTCATCATCATCATAATAATAATAATAATCGTCATCATCACCATCCCGTTATAATCATCATGAGGATTATACACAACACATTAAATAATGTCACTTTATGTTACTTTCTCACAAAAGTGTCACAGGAGGAGATATTTTCTCTCTCTCTCTCTCTAGGCCAGTGTCTGATAGTTTACTTTCAATTTTTGCTTAAAATTTTTCTTCTCCTCTCTTCATAGTTTATCGCTTATCAAACCTGTCTTTCATGTCACACTTGAATTAAGCAGAATGACATAAGAGTTTCTACTTAAATGTGCGTGTATTTGTATGTGTATGTGTGTGTGCGTGTGTGTGTGCGTATCATCTGTTAGACAAACAAACTTCATCCATGCGTACATCCATGGGTACAAGACACTCCTCACACATACAAACATTTGTTAAACGCTGAACACAGCCTTTTAAGGCGTAAGCATATACAAGATTGATTCAACTCAGTTAGGCTTGTTTATTTGGCTGTGTGTGTGTGCGATTATGCATAAATGCCACATGTATATATTTTTCTATTAGTTATATGATAGAATACTTCAAGCAGTAACTTAATTCACAATGGGGACTGTCATCCACAGGCTGTTGCTCAATTCTTTACCCATTACTCCTGCCTTCGTTATTATTTCTGTTTGTTTGTTTATTTATTCACTAAGATAAAGAAAACTGTAAAATTCGATCAATTAAGTGTGAAGTGATCTATAAGAAACAATGAATACTTCTTAGAATAATGATTAGATACGTCTATGGTAGAGACAAGAGAGAAAGAAAGAAAGGAAAAAAAATATAGAGAAAGAATAAAGACTGAATATCACGCTGAAACTGCCTTAGTTTCGATAACTTTCGATAAAAGAATATATATTAATTTTAATAAAAGTCACAAAAGTTACAAAGTTATAGAAAAAGTGGTTTTTGTTGAGATTATATAAGTAAGATAGGCGGAGATTTATACACTGATCTTTGTGAAATAAGTGATAATTGCGTTTAGAAATGGAAATTTCAGAGACAATAGAACTCCTACTTTAACTATTCATTCTAATACACAAAGAAATGGACGGAATCTTAGTATTAGATGGTTGGAGGCAATTGGTAGGATGCCTTTCCTAACCTAAGTTTCGTGCTAGATGACACTCATCAGTCAACAAGGCGTATCTGCATCCTTGAAGGAATTCATATCCCTTCTGAGACTCCCAGTGCTGCAGTCAGAGACGTTACCACTGAGCTATTCAGACTCGCTATTGACCTCATGTAGTACTGTATAGGATATATTTTTTTGATCGAACACTAGTTAGTAGATAGTGTAAGGTGTCTACTCCTTTGTTTACTGAAGGCTGAATTCTATCAATCAAGTTTGCACTGTGGCCATCATGCTAGGTAGCTCACCATCACGGTGCACTGTGAATTGTTGTTGTTAGATGGTTGGAGACAGTCGGCAGGAAGCCGTGCTTGACCTAGGTTTCGTGCTAGTTGGCACTCATCAAAAAGAAAGGAATTTTAGCCAGCAGATATGCATTACTTTAGTGGATCAGTTAAGAAATTAATTTAATTTATCGAGCGAAGTAGATGAATTAACTGACTATTACCACCTGTGGCCATAACTTCATGACCTAAATAGTCATGTGGATGATAGTGATTTGACGACCAACTTGCCGCTTCCCATTCAGGTTCCACTCGAGCAATGGCCTGGTGTGTGATGTCACTCACTTGATGGTTTGTTTCCTCAGAGGTATGGCCAATCCACCTAACTCCATTTCTTCCTGTATATTTGTTGCACAATCGGTTCCTGCTGGGTTGGTTCACTCATTGGTAGAGATCCATCCCTGTTGCTGTCGTTTTCTGGCTTGCCATCTGATCTTCAGCGAAGTATTGAGCGAAGACAGCTGTTGATGAAGGTGTGTAGTTTGTTTGAGATGTTCTTTATGACACGCAGTGCAAGTCTCTGATCCGTCTAGTAAGTAGCACTAACTTCACATTGGAGTTGAAAATGCGGATCTTACTTTCATTTTAGTGCTGGGTGTGGTGTTGATCTCCACACAAACTTGCTTTTCCAATCCTCTCTGTTTCGATATCCTCACCAGTTCTGTCCGCCTACAGTTGAAACGATACTTCCCAGGTAGGTGTGTAGGTGAAGGAGATAGCTTTTTCCAAATTTCTCCCATTTATGCTGGCTGATTGTCTGTTTTTGTTGCTGTTGCTGTCAGCCAGGAATCTTTATCACCTCTGTTTTCTCTATGTTCCCTTGAAGTCCTATCTTTGGCAAAGAAAGGTGTCTTTGCAATTTGGTATCGCTATATAGCCAAATCATGTACACCTTGTCTTCAAATCACCATTTGCACAGATCTTCTGTGTTGTGCTAATTCTGACCTTCATATTGTGTTTCTTTGTGTTCTTTTCACGTCTCCGGTGTAACTGTGCTACACTGTATCATTTGCTTTCTCTGATATCAATCTATCTCCGTGCTATTTGATATTTTTTTATGCCGATGAACATCTCTTTATATATTATATACTACTGACAAATCCTGTCAGTAGCACACCCCACAAATATACTGCAAAGTTAGCTCTGGAGATATTATCTAAAAGGACAATGAAAGCCTCCCTTCTGAACCATCCAGTTCAGAGAACACAACCCACCAAAAAATGTTTATATTCTTCTGAATAGTTTAAGTCACATTTTTAAAGCTTTAATTCTCTTGACTGTGATGACTTTGCTACAATGTTCATCAGTAAGCGAAGTTATTCTTTGTTAGTGAAGCATGATTGTAAAGGAATCACCTGTGAACGATACACTAGTGATTTTTAATCCCACTACAAAAGGATTATTATGTACCTACATATATTTAGATAAAAGGTATATTGATGTTGTAATAAAATCGTCACTGAATACTTCGGTAGAGTACATTTGAATGCTGTAGTTTCACATGGTATATTTATCATAATCTAACAACTTTTCACAAGATTATGTTTTACCTTATAACTTCTTTGGTATATCTATACTGATCTAAAAGTCTGTTCATGATGAGACTTTTAAGAATTGAATGTATTATTTCATGTTCACTGACTGCTCTCTTAAATTGATATGACTAAAGTAGACTGATACTCATTGTCCTACCGGTTGCACTGGTTAATAGTATGGTTAAATATGCAAAACTGTATTGCGTACATAAGCTCTAAATCTAATCATATCAGAATACAGAGAAACTCATGAATATATTATGTATCATTCCCTTTTTTTTCCTTCACGTTCCCCAGTGGAACATAGGGCTTCAAGCTAGTGGATTGAAGTTTCTGTAGCAGTGTTTTGTTTTTACGGGATGGGGTTGCTAGCCTCATTTATAATCTTTCCTCTTCACCAGCATTGTTTCTAGCTTAGCGAGGTAAAGGAGTGCGTCGGTGGCCGGGGATCGAACCCCGGACCATGTGCATGGTCGGCGAGCGTCCTAACCGCTATGCCACCGACGCACATCATTCCCTTACACCTGACAAATGGTTATTTATATACAAACTATGACTAAATTTAAACTTTTTTTAATTCCTTTACGTTCCCAGTGGAACATAGGAGGCTTCAAGTTTCTGTAGTAGTGGTGATTATTTTTTACAGAATAGGGTTGCTAGCCTCATGTCCAACCTTCCCTCTTTACGAGTTTTATTACTGGCTTAGTGAGGTAAAGGAGTGCGTCTGCTGCCGGGGA